TAAGACAGGAACATCCACAAAAATGTTGTGGTTCTGTAAAACCTGGCTGATAACCTAGCTGTCGAACAGCCTAGGACTTGAGAGAGGACTATGCATTTTATTCTGAAAACTTTCCCCTTTTAAAAACTCTTTAACTCTCTTTTAAGACTAATAAACCATTAGCACCCCCTTTAAAGAATCACTAATCTGTCCAATGGAGACTCCACCTGGGTTTGGGGAGCACCTGGCTGCTCCTCTTCCACAGGCCCACCTCTTTCCTGTCAAGAAGCTGAGCGTTGCCCTGGCCAGTTTGTCTAAGTGGTTAGAGTGTCGGCCCACAGACAGAATGGTCCTGGGTTCAATTCCCAGTCAGGGGCACATACCTGGGTTGCAGGTTTTCCCCGCCCTGGTTGGGGGGGGGAGGGGGGGAGGAGTCGTGAGGAAGGCAACCAATTGATGTCTTTCTCACGTCCAAGTGTCTCTCCCCACCCCCCATTCTCTCTCTCAAAAAAGCAATGGAAAAAATATCCTAGTGTGAGGGTTAACAAAACAAGCTCAGCATTAGTGATCCCACCAGGCTGAGATCTGGGTCAACCTGGTTACTGCCCCAGACGGTGACCAATGTGGCCCTGCACCCACCCACCCACCTCCTTGCTGGTCCCCCGACTCCTCGCTGCATGCTGGTGTCTTCGGGGCTCTGGCCCAGAAGGCCTCTACTGCACTCCATATACGCTCCATAGGGGACCTCAGCCACACCTGGCTGTTCTTACCTTTACCTCTATCCTTTCCCCTAACATCCACTCACCTGTTCCCCTAACATCTCCACTGGATGCACACGTACTGCATGGCCCAAATGGCTTCTGAGTGAGTTCAGCACGTGAGCTGTCTCCACCTTACCCCCATTCTCCTCTCAGCTCACAGCAATCTATGGTTTTCCACCCCCGCTATGTCACTGAATTTGCTCCAGCACCAATGACTGCCAAGTGGATAGTTTTAGGTGAAATGTCACACTGGACCACCCTGCTGCATTTGACACTGTTAATCACATCTTCTAGAAACTCTATGCTCCGTGCCTCCAGGAGAGCTGCTAACCCCAGGACTTGTCAAACCTCTCTGGCTGTTCCTTCTCTGTTCATGGGGCAACCTTGGCTAATGGCTACAGGTTGCTCTTCTCCTGGATTCCAGACTTCACCCTCTCCTCTCTATGGACTTTCTCTGAATATCGATTCTCAGTCCCCATCTTTCTCTGGAGCTTTAGGCACCTCAAAGTCAACGAAACCCACACCCAATGCATCCCCTTCCTTTCCTCTCTCACTCATGGCGATGGTTCTTGCTTAGTTGGTGCCAACACCAGCAACCAGGCTGCACATCTGGGCCTCACTGTTGACTTACTCCTTCACAGCAACCCCCACCACGTGCTGGGCGCTTCAGCTCTCCTTAAGCACTACCAGATGACAGCGACAGAACTGTGTACCACAGCCATAAAGGGATACTTTGGGATACCACGTGAGTATAAAGGACACACTACTTCCAGTTCTGTTTAGGACTATCTTTCCCACCCCCAGGAGCCAGCTACACACAGGCCCTGCTCATGAGAGCCCAGAGAACCTCCAACAGGCCAGGTGGCTGCAGTAGAGGGAAAGGGCAGGAGTGATGAGTTTTCAGCTGTACTCATTTTGCAAAGGCAACTGTGGAGTCTCCAACGGATGTGAACAGGGCGGAGCAAGGAGAGACCAGCCTGCCTACAGCGTGGGTTTCAGATCGGAGCTGGCAGGACCCCTCGGAGGGGCAGACGCTGGGCTCAATAACGCAGCCAGTCGCTAGACAGAACCTGTAGACTCAGTAACTGGTTGGCTACTATGGGGAGGGGTTGTTCGCCTATGACCCACAGTCTTTAGAAAGGAATACGCTATGTCCTTAGGGCACCACTGGCATTCAAGCTTTTTGCTTGTGTACACTTGAAAACAATTTTAAAACTCTGCACCCCCGTCACGCACCATTAAGCTGACACCTAAAACTGTTTACAGGGTTAAGTAGTTACAAAGGATTACTAACGAAGGTGCAAGTGCATCTGCGTTTTAAACAGATGTGTGTCAAAACCTGGGACCTGCAGATTCGCTCACTCGACTAATAAGACCGGTCATCACTGTCGAACCTATCTGCCGAATCGGACTCTCTAAGGAGTGCGACACCATTTGTGCGCTCGGTTCACCTCCGAGCAACCACACGAAGCCATGGAACCCGACTGCGAGCTCAGGGAGCCGTCTCATTTCAAAGGGTCGAAAGACGGGGCTGCACTCCGCTGCCTTCCCCGAAGCGCTTGAAATCGCTCCACCTCCCTCTCCCGCGACGCGGAAACCCGGCCCTGCTCGGAGTCTGATTCTTTCCGAGCAGACGGCTAGCGACGGGCAG